AGGAAGTATTAGGATAATACACTATGAACATAAATTAAAAATATTACTGACCAACATAGTTTTGTTATCTAACAGGTGACACTACCTGTCAACAAAACGCTAATTTCAAATACTTTAATGTGGTATATTCAAAATATTTTAATAACAAAGTCATAAAATTAATTAAAATTGTAATTCTTAAGTCGACCTGCATATCTTTGAACTAATTGTTTTTAAATATTTATACTATTGTTTTATATCATAAAATAAGCGTCGTATGCAATTGATTTTTACATGTTTAATCATTGCGCATGCGCCAGCGTTTAGTCGTAGAAAAAGTATGATGAGTGATTATTTTTTTTCTCATTACTTCTTGTATATAAAAATTTTGTACTCCGGTAATAAAGCTTTTAGAAAAGTTAACACTTATATGGTCGTCAGTGTTTTTTTCGGAAATTCTATTTTAATTAATTCTATAATTTATTTGAGACGTAATTAGAAACATAAAATTTCTAGAAGTCCATTTAAATACTGCCCAGTCTTAAAAAATATTGTAAGCTCAATTTAATTCGATTTATAATAATAACAATAACTTATTGACCAGTTTATTTATATTATCAACAAAGTTTTTAAGATTAAATACTTTCATAGATTTTGATTTGTTTAAGGATGATCCTTTTCTTCTGAAGGTCTTGCAGATAAATGAGAACTATAGTTAAAATTTATTCTATATCATTCATTAATATCAAATAATGTTTTTATAAAATTATTATTTTGAAAAACAATTAGAATGTAAAAAGATCAATTTTTAAAAACCACCTATATTTAACGTGCATAACTATTTGACAATATTTAATAGATAACAAAATTAAAATTTAATTAATCAACTCATTTATTATAAATATTTCGGCAGTGTCATAAAACATAAAAAATTTATGACATTAAAGTTAGCAGTCACTTGAACATTTTTTTATTTTTGTTTATAAATAAATTTGTTCCAGAAAATTATTTTTAAAAAATAGCACATTTAATTTTTTTAAATTTCTACATGTCATATTTTTTTTCATAACTTTTTTGCCATAATTTATTTGTTGAAAAAATTCTTAAAATTATTAAATGTCAGCTAAATTAATTTTCATAAAAAATTTTTAAAAATTAATTTTGATACAAATACAATTTGGAAAAATTCAATTTTCGTTCAAATATACATTTTTTAGTAATTACTTAGTTGATTAAAAATCTAAAAACCTAAATTATACAACGAAACGCAAGTTTTACTTAAACTCAAGCGTCATACAAAAAAAAATGTTGATTTTTTGGTAGATTTTACTCAACAAAAAGTCAAAAGTAGTCGCTAATAGCAAAGTAGTTGATGCGACTTTAAACAATTAAATAAAAAAAAAAAAATAATAATAATAATAATAATAATCGTCAACAAAATATTAACAAAAAAAAATTCTTGCCGCTTGAGAAATAATAAAATAGGCATTTACTGAAAAAATATATCAATAATACTGGCAAGTTGTCATTACTTTTTTATTAATCGAAAATTTTTTTTTTTTTAGCATTTCTTAAAATATGGATAACCTTACTTTAGATCTAAACAGTGTTGACCATAAAACAGTTGAAAATCTTTTAAATAAAGGATTAGATATTGATTGTTGTGGAATATACAAAAAACTTTGTCATTCACCTCTGATGGCTGCTGTCAAGGAAAACAATGTTGAGTTGGTGAAATTTATTTTAAGTAGAGGCGCCGATCCAAATAAATTAATTCCATGTCACGCTACATATGCTATGACTGCTTTACATGCAGCTATTTTTACGGAGAATATTGATATAAAAATTATTCAATATCTACTTGATTATGGTGTTGATGTAAATTATCCCGCTATTGATAGAGAAAAAGAACATGAAGTATACTCGTCACCTTTGCAGTACGCGGTACACAGTCAAGATGAAAAATTAGTCAGTTTGCTTTTGAGTAAAAATGCAGACGTTAATTTTAAATCTAAAAATAATGGTACAGCACTTCACATTGCTTGTAGTAATGAAAATTCAAATATTGTTCGCTATCTATTAGAATATGGAGCTGATATCGATGTTGTATCTGATGACAACTTAACAAAAGGTCAAACGCCTCTATTTGTAGCTATTTCTTGGAATCAAACAGAAGCAGTAAAACTACTATTAGATAATGATGCTAACATCAATGTTACGAACTTTAATGGTAAATCTGTGCTAAATTTACTAAATGAAAATACCGATGAAAAAATTAATGTGATGGTAAAGCAGCATGTAGTTAAATTAATGGCTGCAAATTATTATGTAGATACAAATATTTCACAAGAAGTTGTGAACGACAATACTTTAATCGATTTTCATAATATATGTATCAATGAAATAGACAAAATGAAAAGAGAAAAAGTTTATGGAACTAGCGTTGTGTATCATCATATCATGATTAAGAGTATTCATAAATTATCCCTATTTGCAAAAAACGAAAGAATCAAATCAGGGCTTTCAGATCCTGTGAAACTTGAAAATATTTTTCCTCATTATGCCTTTATATTAATCAATCGTTTTAAAAAAGGACTTGAAAGAAAAAAATTATTAGATAAAGCTGAAAAATTTATTTTTGATTTTTTCATGAATGAACTTCCCAATACTTTTATCAGACAATTATTTTTTTATTTTAGTAATAGAGATTTAGAAATACTTGGTATTGTGTAACTTTTGTACATATTTGATAAATAAAAATTTTATTATTACAGCAAAAAAAAATATATGGGGCTAGTTTTTTTTCTCATTTCATATCTAAAAAAGTGCAAAAATATTTAATTTACATGTCCATCTAATATTTTTAGGATATACATATGTATGCGAAGCTCTATATCATTTTTTAAATTCAACCTTCAAATAAAACAAATTCTATTTGTTAATATTTTTCTGAAATCTATTTTTTGTACTCAGGAAAGTGAATGTGGAAAAACAAATTCATAATTCATTTAAAATTCTGATTCTATTTATTCTTGTATTTTTATTTAAAACTAAATATGTTTTTGAAATTAATGACCGTCAGTTTTTTTTACTAAAAATTTTTTAAATAACTCTTTGGAAACTTTCTATATTATTTTCATGTAATCAAATTCGTTTTGGAAAATTATATAGATCATTCTACGCCAAATCAACCACTTTTGAACCTGAGTCTTTTTGATTATTCGCGAAAGCGAATTCTTAAATTTCAAAACCCCACGATTAAAAATAGTTCAAAGGCTCTTTTTATTTATTTTCTTTTTTCTTGAACCTAATTTCTGGATATTATTTTTCTAATTAAACGTCTTAAATAAATTTTGAAATAAAATAAAATAAAATAAAATAAAATTTTTGAAAAATAACATATGACTAACTATTGCAAAGTTTTTCAATGATTCATTTAACCAGTTTTTTCAAAAAATAATTAAAAAAATAAAATTTCAGAAAATTCATTTACTACGGCCAATCCTTAAAATTTATTTTTTTTAAAATAAGTATTTAAATTCTTTTTAATTGCCCAAGCGTCATAAAAAAAAAATATTGACAAAAATTAATAATTTTCAACTTAAATTCAACAAAATATTAGCAAAAAAATGTTTGTTCCGCTTGGGTAAATTAAATAAGTTTTTAAAAAAGCACAGAATAATTTAGTTTAAAAAAGACAGATTTTTAAAACGAATAATAGTAAAGTTTATTATTTAATAAATAATAAAAGTAATTGCTATTGTTTTTATTGTTAATGAATGATATTAAAAACCAAATACTTAAAATAATATAATTATAATATTATAATATTAATATTAAAATTAAAAACACATGAAAACAACGATATGGCTGTAAACAGACTGTAGCTAATAACGGAATATGGGCTTCTGTGAAATGCATGTATATTTAGATGACAAATAGCCCGTGCTCAGTGCTGGTGCTGGTGTTGAAATAACGAACCACCAACAGCAACTGTTTGCAGTTGGCAGTGGGAGTTGGAGTCTCGGAGAAGATGGCAGAAGATAATATTCTCCTCGCGTTACTTGCATGACTTTACGCCGCTGATGGAACAATATGAACCGTGACGTTATTTATTCTGAATATCTGAGTGTTTTACATCACCACTCTAAGATCTGCAAATGTACTAGCACTTTGAGGATTAGATTTACTCAGGTAAAAACAACATTCTTTACTCCCACGCAATTGTTTTTTTTTTTCGTCATACCAGAAGGGAAAAAAGGGTGATTTTGACAATTTATGGCTCATCACTAAGCCTGGTATTATTGTATTTTTTTTTAACTGTCATCTAACGTTATTGAAAGAAAGTGCTATTGATGTATTATTTTATAAATGTTTCCATTAAAAAAATCTTACTAACTTTTTTTAATTTTTGTGTTTTTTTTTTAGACGTGTTAAAAATGAGGGTTGTAGGCGCGTGCACACGCTCTCTTTTCTTCATGGTCAGAGATTGATTTGTGGCTAGTTTAGTTATATACGTTCAATAAAAATATTGTTTTTTTTTTTTTTTCAATACTTCGTAAGTTTCCTCATCATTATCAAATTTTTCGATTAAAATTGTGTAGAAAAGAACAATTTTAGTTTTTTTTTCTTAATATTAATCAGTAGTACAATTGAAAAAAATCTCTTTAAAAAAATAAAAACATTGATTCGTAAGTAATCTCAGTGATACTCTATTTATTATAACGTACTCTTAATATATTTGTCCGTACGCTTAATTAAACTCAATAAGTTCACTGCAAATCCCTAACCACAATAATATTCAACATGAATAGAATTTGTTATTTCATTCTATCATTTATTAAAATAATATTTTGACATTACTGATTTTTTAAAATCTCGTTTTTAATAAATAAAATAACCCGCAATTGAATTTTTTTTCTTAGAAACAAAGAATTAACAATGTGTTAACGGTTATATTATTACTATTTTAAATTTTTTGTTTTTTCTTTAGACAATACTTTAAAAAAATCTAAAAAAAAATGGACGGAACGCGTGCCTCAGAGGTTTTACCTTTACTAGAAGAACGCCTGGCAATATTACCAGGTGGACGTGATCGTCGAGGTGGTCCTCTTTTATTATTTCCTACAACATCAAGGAGAGAACGTACTAAATCAGAAGATTATCGTCGGTTACTCCAGTATCTTTTTGCTATTTCTAATGATGAAGCTCGCTTTACGGTTATTGTTGACATGCGAGGAGGGACTTGGGACTCTGTAAAGCCGATATTAAAGGTAAATTATATATTAATTAAATCAAACAACAAGTATGAAATTAAATTAAAGTTTACTAAGTTTTTTCATTGATATTTTTATTATTTTTGTTATAGGTTTTACACGAGTACTTTCATCGCTCCGTTCAAGTTGCATATATTATAAAACCAGATAACTTTTGGCAGAAGCAACGAACTTCTTTGGCAAAACAGAAGAAGTACAACTTTGAGGTAAATGGAACAATCAATAGAAATGTTCAGTTGAATACAGATTTAGTATATAGCGATAACACCAGAACTGTTGGCAAGATTCGCTGTCCTACTTTGGACACGATATTGTCGCAGTAGCGTTTATTGAATGCATCCAACCAGTAAAATCCTAGGCTGTTCATTGTGTTGCACTGATGCCAAAACCAAATATTCCACAATGCACACGTGCTACAAAATGTGCACTCAGACACGAGAAGATTATTGTGGCAAAAACTTGACCTTCTAAAAAATCGATTTCTGCTGCTACCACTGCTTTTATATTTTTAATAATCTTTTTTAAATTCTATTTTTCATTTTTTATCATAATAACAATCAAAAAAATCAACCACAAAGATATAGTATATCGTTACAGTATAAATTTTTATATTGTTTTTAGGTAAACACAATAAGCTTGGAAGCACTGACAACAGTCATTGATCCATCTCAATTAACCGCAGACTTGAATGGATCTTTCCAATATGACCATGCTCAATGGATCAATACACGTTTGGCTGTGGAAGATTTTACTTGGCAAGCTGCAGATTTACTTGATCGTTTGGATGATCTTCAAGAAGATCTTAGTCGTAATGATTTTGCGGACGACGTAAGTGGTGCTAAACATGGTATGGATCTTCACAATGAAATGAGAAAAAAGATAATGAAAATACCAGTTGAAGAAGTTGAAGTTGTAGGCCAACGATTATTGCAGCGATTCAATCAGGGTATGTAAAATATACTTTTTTTTTTTTTTTTTTTTTTTTTTTTTTTTTTTTAATCAATTAATTAATGAAATATGGCAATAAATTTTAAATTATAAATATTCATGAATAAGGTATAAGCGGTACGTCCAGTGATAGTGGTAGCATTGAAGGAGGAGCATCAGGTAGTGTCGATTCTGATGGCTGTGCATTGGCAACTTTAGTCATTCAGCATTTGGATTCTGTTCATGCGGCACAACAGCATCTACTTCAGCTTTGGCATATTAAGAAAACAAAACTAGATCATTGTTTACAACTTCGGATGTTCGAACAAGATTGTGAATCAATGTTTGAGTGGATTTGTCGCCACAGAGAAATTTTTCTTGCCAATTACGTTGAGATTGGTCGATCTTTTCAACTAGCAAAGAATCTTCAAGAAGAACATAAACATTTTACATTGAGTTCAATGAATGTTTATGTTACTATAAATAAAATATTAACAACAGCAGGAAGACTTATAGAAATGAAACACTATGCTACCTTGCATGTGAGAGCTGTAGCTAGTCGTTTAGATCGTGCTTGGAAAGAATTCGCTGCTGGACTTGATGAACGTACTGCTGTTCTTAATCTTAGTGTTGCTTTTCATCACAAGGCCGAACAGTACGTTGACAGCGTAGCAGGATGGAGTCAAGCATGCGAGTCGACAAATTTACCCAACGAAATTGCAGTCCTTGAGTCTCATATACGACAACATCAAACACTATATGAAGCCATGTGTCAAGCATATACTGAGGTGTGTTTTTTTACTTAATTTATTTTATTTTTTACATTTATATATATATATAAACTTAATAATAAACTTGATAAAAATAGTGGGTGATAAAATTCAGATTTCGTTTTGCTGAGAATAGTAAATTTTTTTATTCTTTTTATTAAAACAAATAATATTTAACAGGTTTACAATGCATATCAGGCCCTTTTGAGTGGTCTAGGTACTATGCTACAAGTTTGTCACAGCTCAAGTTCCACTGGGGTCATCAACAATGAGATTTTTCCCAGCGAATATGTACGCTATATTTTGTATTTTATAAATTTTTACAGCCAATGACAAAACCAAATGATTGCTTGGTGACTGGGCGAAGAATAACATTCATTATTATTTCATTCTTTTCAGGGATATTACTAATTTAAACAATGGTGACGTGATTACATAATGTAATATAGTGACATTCTCTTCTCTTAATTTGATTATAATAATAATAATAATAATAATAATAATAGCAATAGTCATAAATTATATAATAATATTAATAATTACAATAATATATTTAAAAGTGGTTATTGAAATTATTTCTAAGGTGAAGGTAACTAAATCATCGAATAGATTTTAACATTCTCCTAAAATTGGCTTTGGCTTGTAATATTGTTTAGGTACACAGTACCAGTAAGAAGCTTCTTTATCAACTGGATCATCTTGTTCAAGTCTGTAATCAGCCTCAAGGGATTGACCACAACAGAAAACATGTATGTTCATGACTTGCTCTCTTAGTATATATACATATATATGTCTATTATTTTTTTTTTTCTATTTTATTTCTCTCGCTTATCAATGCAATGTCACTTTAACTCACCTAACTATTAATTCTTTTTTTAAAGTTTTTTAGCATCATTTCAAATTAATATATTGCACATATGAATTGCATGACTTGATTAAATACAGCATGATGTGTAAAAAATTTAGCAGTTCAATAATATGTTATAAAATTTGATTCAGAATTGTTTGAATAATTAATCGTATGCTTGAAGTATTTTTACTTTTAAGCTGAAATTAAATTTATTAATTATATTATTGCACTACTTTAAATGGTAGCTTCTAAATTTTATTAATAATTACGATGTGGTTCAGTAAATAAATTATAATAATTTAATTTGATTAGAGTCAAGATGGCCATGGAATAGACAATCGTGGTGGAATGAGTGGAAATCCAGCTGCGGATTACAGTGAGGGTGCGTCACATGTGCTTGCGGTTATTCATCGAATTTTAAGCCATCATAGAGCTCTGGAAACTCGATGGCATGCTCGCAAAGTCAAATTACATCAACGACTTGCTTTAAGGTATATAAGTCATTTAGATTTTATATTATATAATTATTGAGAAATAATTTTTTTTTTTTGACACTGATATTTAGATTATTTCAAGAAGATGTAAAACAAGTATTAGATTGGTTAACAAATCATGGTGAAGTTTTTATCAGAAAAAATACTGGAGTAGGAAGAAATCTGCAAAAAGCCAGGGTATATCAAAAAAGTCATGAACACTTTGAAAATGTTGCTCAGGTAAATGACAACGAAGTTAATTAATTCATAAAGTTTAATTTTTATATCTTAATAAACGAAACTTAAAAATTTTTTTATTTAGAATACTTATACTAATGCAACTAAATTACTCACTGCTGCTGAAGAACTTGCGCATACTGGAGAATGTGCAGCTGATGAAATATACGCAGTAGCTCAAGAATTAGAACGACATGTGAGTAATTTTGCAACAAGGGTTGAGCAAAGGCGTCGTCGTTTACACCTAGCTGTTATATTTTATACTCATGAAAAAGAAGTAAGAGCAAAATATTTTATTCCTTACAATTGTTAAAAAATATAATTATTTATTAATGATATATTTTTGGACCGACATGATAGTATATATGAATTAGAATTTTGGCCTATTTTCGGACGAAGACTAGTGTTTTTTCTAATTTAAGTCTAAAGATGGATCTTTCATCTTC